AAAAAAAAAAAGAAGAAGACGAAGAAGATTTCTAGAGAAACTACATTTACCACTTGAGAAGACGGAAGCAGAACATGGAGAAAGGTGCAGGTACATTCCACAAGGTAGAGCTAAAGATTGATAGTCCAAGACCCTTGAGGCACTCTACATAGCTGTGCCCAAAGGCTATTTTTAAGACTTTACTAAAACAGAATTAGACCCAACCACATGCTAAAAGAAAGTCAAAGTGGACCAAAGATAAATAAGTAAGTAAATAAAGCAAAAGTGAAAAAAAATCAATACACTTTATGACTGCTCTTCCCCTTGGTATAGTTTTCCTGGGAATCTTTAACTGTGGCATTTTGCTGCAGGCAGACCATTAAAGTATCAAAGTAAAAGGAAATGAGATGAATGAGGGTGTTGGGTTTTCAAAGTGAGGTGTGGCATAAGTCCATCCAAAGCCAATTTATAATCCAGTGGCATTTAATAAAAAGAAACTTTCTTTGGCTTTTGTTCATTTAGGGTTAAATGTTTGGGTTCCGAAGGCAATTGAGTACAAATTAGAAATCTAGGCCTGCTTACTCTGAGTTGGTGAATTCTGGCAAATTACTGGCCCTTTTTAAACTTCAGTTTCCTTTCTTTTTAAAATAGAAGTGCCACGTGCCACGCCGCAGATGAACCTGAAGACATCAGGCTGAGCAAAAGACGGCAGCCACCAGCCAAAAGCAAAAGCAAACATGCTGTGATCTCATTTATATGACACAAGCAAGTCTCGGGAAACCAGAGAGGATGAGCGAGTACAACAGTAATGAGGAGAAGAAGTTTTGTTGAGGGGCATTGAGTGTATGGTAATGATGTTGGATTGATTTGAAAGAAGGGTGACATGAATGGTGCACACCTTAGAAATCTACTCAGGGTCACAGGAAATTACTGAGTTGTGTGTGTTGTGCAGAGTTGACACAGGAGACGGGTGGAGATCTGTTTTGGAAAAATCACAGCCTTGAAAACTCTAGGGCAAGTGAGTTAAGAGAGACATCAGACAGTGTAACACATCATAGAATAATAATAATTTGTAAATTATCAAGGGTTCATGAGGAAGGGGGGCACGGGGAGGGAGGGGGAAAATGAGGAGCTGATAGCAAGGGCTCAAGTAGAAAGCAAATGTTTTGAGGAGGATGATGGCAACAAATGTACAAATGTGCTCGACACAATGGATGGATGTATGAATTGTGATGAGTTGTATGAATCCCCAATAAAATGATTTTAATAAGAAAAAAATTAGAATCCCAAAATGGAAAGAAATATTTTATATGTTGATAAATGTACGGTAAGTTAAAACAAGAAGAAGAATAACAAGACAAGATCTAGTCTTAGCAGGTCACCTGAAGGAATGACTACATACAGAGATGCTGTAAGTGCTTTAGCTACGCTCTGGAACACAGCTTAGATCAGTGTTGTTACAACAACAATGTGTGTGTGTACATATAATTATACATATAATTATATAAATATGTTACATGGCTAGGCTCTGTAATTGTTAAACAGTATGATTTTAACAATATTTTGCTACATGGTTATGTTACTTGATCATTAATTATATTGTATTCTAAAATAAATGTCATATTCTATTAAAAAGAAAAGAAAAGAAAACTCTATGGAACAGTTCTACTCTGCTGGTGGGGTCACCACGAATCAAAATCAACTGCAAATAATCGCAGCCCACCACCCTAACCACCTATATCTACCACCCAGAGCTTCCAGCAAGTTCAGTCCAGTTCAGTCATGAGCAACAAAGCAATGCTGAAGTGCATTCAAATTTTGAAATGTCGGAGAACTAGAATAGGAAAAAAAATATGAGTTGAAGCCCTTCTAGAAATGTACTCTCTCTTTTTGAGCACACAGGCGATGTGTGCATTGCATAGCAACCAAACCGCTTAAGCAGCTGCCTGACTCAAATCCATGTTGCTTTTAATGTATGTTGCTTTCCATAACCTTGGCAATTATCCTATGTGAGTATAA